AACATTACTGTCAAACCCAGAAAGTTCCCTATGTTCCTTCCTGGTCAATCTCCGCCTCCACCCCTTAGAGAAAACCAGTGATTTTTGTTTTTTTTTCACATTGGATTTGTTTTCCCTTTTCTAGAATTTCATATAAATGGTGTCATACAGTTTTTACTCTTTTGTGCCAGGATTCTAGAAACTCAGCATATTTTTGAGATCAACCCAATGTTGTGTTTATTAGTGATTTGTTCCTTTTATTGCTGGGTAGCACTCCCTCGTACGGCAACATCCGTCCATTCTGTTGCTAGGCACTTGGGCTGTTTCCATTTTGGGCTATCAGGAATAAAACTGCCATTACTATTCATGTCCAGGTCTTTTTGTGGATTTATCATTTTCTCTCAGGTAAATACCCAGGAGTGAAATTGTGTGACAGAGAAGGTAGGTATAATACACATTTAGTTTTATTTAAAAAAACTGCTGGACCTTTTCCCAAAGTGATTGTACCCATTCTGTACAACAACCGAAAATGTTTAGAGTTCCAGTTACTCACATCCTCACCAATCGATGCTGTCGTCAGTCTCTTTAGTCATTCTGGTGGGTGAGTAATGGTATCTCATAGTTTCCATGTGCATTTCCCTGAAGACTAATGACATTAAGCACCTTTCTACATGCTTTATATGTATTTCCTCTGTAAAGTATCTGGGCAGATTTTTTTGCCTATTAAAAAAGTTTGTCTTTTTTTTTTTTGTATTGCTTAAAAAATACATTTTTAACAGATTTTCTTTTTTTTGAGCATTTTAGGTTTACAGAAAAATTGAGTGGAAAAGTAATTTCTTCTCTCTCTTACCCTTAGTATTATCTTGCATTAGTGGGGCACATTTGTGACAATTGATAAGCCAGTGTGGACATATTAACTAAAGTCCTAGCTTATGTTAGGGTTCATTCTTTGTGCAGTATATTTGGTGGGTTTTGACAAAAGTATGATGACCTGTGTCCACTATTATAATATTCTACGGAAGTTTCACTGTCCTCAGAATCCTCTGTGCTCTACCTGCTCTTTGCTTCCGACCCCTGGCAGCCACTGATATTTTTACTGTCTCCATAGTTTTACCTTTTCCAGAATGTCATCTGATTGAAATTGTATAGTATGTAGCCTTCACGTATGGGCCTCTTCCACTCAGCAATGTGAATGTCAGTTTCCTCCATCTTTTTTGTGATTCGATAGCCCATTTCTTTTCGTTGCCGAATAATATTCCATTGTATGGGTGTATTGTCTTTTTATTGTTGATACTAGCCCATTGTCAGATATACGTATTACACATATTTCCCCCATTTTGTGGTTTGCCTATCCATTTTCTTGATATCTTCTGAGCAGGAGCTTGTAATTTTGATATGGTCTAATTTATAATGTTTTCTCTTAGTTATTGCTTTCTATAACTCAAGAAAGCCATGCCACAAGTTCTAAAGATCTTCTCTATGTTTTCCACTAAAAGCTTTATGGTGTTAGCTCTTATACTTCGGTCTAAGATCTTTTTTTTTTTTAAATGTTTCCTGAACTTTTTTATTCATGGGACTCTTTTTTCTCAGGGAACATCTGATAGCACTGGTATGTTCCCTGGATCCCACTTCTCTCCTAGATGATAAACTCCTAGAAGGCAAGGGACTGTAGTTGGTATTTCTTCATTATCTCACAGTACTTGGTTGCTGACTGATTTTAAGGTGATCTTATAGCAAGAGCAGGACATTTGAGTGTTAGTTCTTCTGTGTCAGTGTTTTATAAAAGATAAGTTTTGTGGGTGTTTATAAACACTGAGAAAACCGGAGGTTTTTTTGGTCTTTTTTTTTAAAGATTTTATTTATTTATTTGAGACAGAGAGAATGAGAGACAGAGAGCATGAGAGGGAGGAGGGTCAGAGGGAGAAGCAGAC